GGGCTTCTTTGAGATTTTGGGCCTCCGAAGCATATCCCACTAGCCCAAATCGAATCCAATCACCTCCTAGCCCATTTTCTTCAAGTTTTTCTTCATTTTAAGCCCAATTTGACCTCTCCAAATCCTCCAAAGCTCGTGAACTCGCCCGATTAATAATCTACGTACGCTTGAATATTCCCCCGCATCTTGCAAATTTAAAGTTTATTTCTCTCCAAGCCTTCAAATAATCATCAAGATCACTCCATGCATCATCTCCACTACCCATCAAGCCCAACATCATTTTTGTCTACCAAATCTCATCGCCTCCCATACGTCCCGAACACTCCCGCTCCGCTAGACCCGAAAACCTGCAATTATGCTCACAAGATTCGAAAGTACCCGAAATAGTCATAAAATAACAAAAAGGAAAATATGCATGGAAATTATCTAAATTATGAATGAAATATGCTAAAATAAACTATAAAAAGAAGTAAACAAAACTAACTATCAATGTGTATGAATCTCATGTAAGTACTTTGTAATGTGTTTCACAATGCTTGTTTTAGTCCAGAATTAGGTATTGTAAGGGTTTTGAAATGGTAATGTAGCTCCGGAACACAAAGAACGTGATCCGGAACCCGATGAACTATTCTGGAATGATGTTACGGAATATCAATTCGGAATAATTATACTTAGGGTTGTGCACGGTGCGGTTTGGTGCGGTTTAGAGCCAAAACCGCAAACCGCACCGCATATACGGTTTGAGTTATTTAGAAACCATAAATCGCACCGCAAACCTGCTAAACCGCATTATGCAGTCGGTTTTGTGCAGGCGGTTTATGCGGTTTGACTAATTATTTACTTTAAATTTAATGATAATACTATCATTGTCGTCACTAACGGCTCACTAAGTGGTAATTAAAAATTTTGGTGGTAATAGAATTATGGTCTTTAACTACTTATCAATATATATATATATATAGGGGTGGAATTGGTATGCTACCAATTCATTTTTCTCTAAACCGAGTACCGTACCAACTATAATTTGTATAAAAAAATTTCTACCAGCACCATATCAAGTATACTTGGTACCAATTTATATACCAACTTCTTTTAATTTTCTATTGTAATATTTAAAAATAAGCAAAGACATCGGTTTTCATGTGTAGTATAGAAATTAGTTATTTACTTCTTTTAGTTTACAAAAGATTTCTACTGAAGTAACGTTAAAGTAATGTTTTAATATTGTTCTTTAACATGGTAATACTTATTAACTAATACGACCAAATGATTAATATAATGTTATTAAAACTGTAAACACTAAATACAATTAACAATTGAAATATATATATATATATATATATATATATATATATATATATATATATATATATATATCAAATGAATTGGTTGGTACGGTATTAACATGGTATTCCAATTTTTGTACCATTACCGTACCAACATTGATCAATTGGTACGGTACTACCAACCAAACATGTTGGCTAACAAATATATTGGCTACCAAGTTTATTTGTTCGGTTGATAACATATTGCTTGGTTTTTCATGGTACGATTAAAATAATGGTCGCTAAATGTTAGTTGAAAATGGATTTGTAACAAAACAAAAAATGGTCACTGCATTAAATTTTTGATTAATTAAATTTAAAGAAATATTATTACATTTCAAAAACTTAAGATAATGCCACTAATTTAGGATGAATTGAATTAATAAACGTTATCCTACCAAAATATTTTCGTGTGTGTGTGTCTATATATATATATATATATATATATATATATATATATATATATATATATATATATATATATATATATATATATATATATATATATATATATATAATCATTAATTGGTTTTATCAATACGGCGCAGTTTAAACCGCAATTTTGTAATCGTAAACCACAAACCGCACCACATAATGCGGTTTAATAAAATACAAACCGCAAACCACACCACGAGTGTTTTAAACCGTGTTATGCGGTGCGGTGCGGACGGTTTGTGCGGTTTGTGCGATTTATTGCACACCCCTAACTATACTTATAATTTTTTTTCCTAAATATTGTTTAATAACTCATGTTCGTCCAAAGACGAGTTTGCATGGATGTTGTTAAAAAAAATGGGTTTTATGGACAACGAAGTTGTATTCCATTTACAGAAACTTTCAGAATTATGTCCAATAAAGATAAAATCAAAAAACAATAACTTTATAATTTTAATTTATTTTTACAGTAATATATTAAAATGTTCTTGGAATTTTGTTTTTGCAGATAAAAACGAAGATGATGAGTTTCAAAATACGATAAAAATAAATCGCAAACTACACCTATAAAATTAAGAAAGAAATCAGAAAATGTATTAAAACTTAAATCGAAAGCATATAGTACTCCGAAAGATGACACCAGGGCAAGTGCAGACAAATATGTTATAATAGACTAATTGCAATTATATGTTTTTTTGTTATGGATATGTTTCATCAAGTGTTTTCTATTATTAATAAATATTTTTATGCATGTTGGATTTTAAATAGTATATGAATATAATTTAGGCATATATTTTATTTTCAGTCTCCAACATTCAGTGACTAGAACGATGATGATGAGTTGTTTATAGAGTATGTTATACCACATCTTGAAGACGAGCAACAACGTCTTATTGATATGGCTGCATTAGAAATGATTCATGATTATCAACGTGCGAAACAATGAATGGTAATTTCAGAAATCTCATTACTGCTTTCACCAACTTGAGGAGCGGAGAAAAGTAACATTGTATAACATGCAAATGCTCCTCATATCATGTCTGGAGGTATACGATAATTTGTGAACACAATGGACATCATCGAAGAAACACGTAGGACAACTCCAACAATAGAAGTTCGAGTCGAATCGACTGATAATGATTTCAAACTTATTGAGACCTACATGTAGACACACCTAGTTTGCATCGGATACAACTTCCCAGTTGTCGGCCAGAAATGTAATCTAATTTTAAATATGTATATTTTAATGTCTTCTGAAACTTAATTTTGTTAAAGGAACGGTATGATTATCATTTTTTTGCATTATCATTATTGCAAAAGAAAACGTTATAAATTCCAATACATACTTAGATTGGTTTCCACAAATTAGGAAATTGTAAATGATACATATTCTGTTCTCATACAATAAAATATCTTCTAATTCTCACTACATCTGTTAGACGGTCATGTTCTGCACGAAGCTTATTGATCTCCGCATTTGCATTTTCAATCAACTTCTTAACTTGTTTGACTTCTTCGGAATGCTATGTCCCGGAGCATGTGGTCATTTTACCCAAAAAAATGTTGGTTATTTTTATTAAAATTGTCGTTTATAAGGGTTAGATTACTCAATTTCCAAAAAAAAAATCATGTTTTTGGTTTGGGCTTATTTAAAAAAATAAAATCAGATTTAGCCTAAAAATCGATTTTCTTTTTGTCAAGTAGCCCAACAATGACTTGCAAGCAATCACGGTAGTAGCTTCGCTATAGCGTTCACAGAAATCACAGTGAATCACGATGCTATTAGCACCACCGCTATACAAGACCACTATTTGATACAAATATTATCGTTGAGCCCCTAACCGCTAGTGTGTTATTAACTGCATAGTTTATGAAGAGTAATTGCTTCTAGCGAGGGTCAAGGGAGTTCGAGAATAATATTCGAGAATAATATAAATACAAAACCATGAGCGATAATATGTCAATATCTCATATTACTTAGAAAACTTCATTTGTCTCTATCTGTCTATCTCTATATATAGAACCTTAATGTAATTGTAAATTTCATCCCAATACCAATAATATAAATTCGTTATTCTCCAATGAAAAAATGGTGGTAAAGTCGACACGAAACGACAAAAATACATGACATAAAACGAAATTGTGAACAAATAGAATTTTGAATTCATGTTTGTGTCGTTTTCAAGTCATGTATAAGAAACACGATGTTGTGTTCATGTTTGAAATTCGACACGATAATAGCACGAAATTCAGTTTTCGTTTCGTGTCATGTTCGTGTTCAAAAGTCGAGTATATTTAGTAGCATTCTCTTTTGTTTTATGTTATTTTTTGTCATGTTATTCGTGTTAGTTATGTTTAAATTAACGTTCTTACAAGAACTTATGTATGACGTTATGCAAATGATTTTTTTCTTGTTATTTTTGCCGTGCTATCGTGTATTTCATGTTTTTACTGAGTCGTGTTTGTGTTAACGGAAAAAAACATGCTATTGTGTTGTGTTAGGCAAAAACACGAAACGATTGCACATTTTGTCACCCCTACCTGTGATCACAAACCATGTAAATCTTGTCTCATTTATTTTTTTCACATTTTTTAATTATGCATTTGTCATTCGAATATATAACATCGTCATCCTAAATCTGGCCTAGCTTGAATGCAAGGAATACAATAACATCAAAGCACAAAGGGAAGCGAGAAGTGTAGATGACCTTCGAAAGATTTTGGAGGTTGTTTCTTTTCGAAATAATTAACTTAATATGTTAAACACTTAATATAGATGACTATATATGATTGTTTCTTTTTTACTTAATCTTCACAGAATGACTTGATAGATTAAGCCAAAAAAACATGCTTAGTATATTACTATATTCAGACACCAACCTTTTATCTATTTCCCACTATTATGCTTCTTCCTACTCCTCTCACATTATAATCAATGAATATTATAAAAAAACATACCTTATATGAGGGTAAACTAGTCATTTACTCTCATTTAAATGATTTAATATATAGGAAAAATGTTTAAAGATCCAGTTTAAGGTAAGACTATTTATGAAGAATTTGACAATATTTCTTTTTTTTCAATATATTGAGACAAAAAAAAAAATTGTGTACACTAATAAAAACAATAAAAAAAAATAATGTTAAAACTGTCCTAATGTCAATGAACTATACATGAAGATGACCCATTACAACTGACTAATTAAAAAAAAGGTAAAAAAAAAAAAAAAAAAAAAAAAAGATAATTACAACGACAATACCGAAGGAGAATAGGATTGTCGAACCCGAAATTATGCGGTGAGGGTTTGAAGTGGAAAAGACCGTTTTACCCTTAGCCTAATTTTCCAATTTCCCTTTTCTTCTTCATAGCCTTATGACCATGGTAAATAAATGAATCTACAATCCCTGCAACCGTGAAGATACCTGAATACAACATCAAATGTTCATAAAAGGTTAATGGAAAGAAGTGTCAATTGTATAGACTATGGAATGGAATTGAATGTTTTTGGAAGGAATGGAATCTGTCAAAGGAATATAGAATATAGCATGTACCTCCTACTATCGCACATAGATTGGTCAAGAAATGCAAGAAGGAAGCATGTCTTTCTGTGAAAGTCACCTGCAGAAGCAATTTTGTAAGTGTTAAAAAATATTTTGTATAAAATCATTAATTTATAAAGAAATTGGACGTAAATGAAACAAACCTTAATTGGAGAGAGGTCATAGAAGAAGAAGACTCCAGGAAGCCCTCGATGTTTAACTTGTGGAGCCTTATAATGTTCTGTCACAGAGAACTGTAGGATACAAAATTCCATAAATTTTTAGAAGAATACCAAAACTAATCATAAAATAATACATTTCCCATTTAAATAATTAAATTTCATCAAATACCTGATGTGACTTGATAACTCGCCCACTAAGTGGAGTGTACACAGTTGGAACCACCTGAAATTTAAATAAATATTTATATTTTTTGTATCATGAATTTATGCACACTGTAGAATACTAACCTTGAGAAAATACTGATATATTCCATTTGGTGTTCCTTGATACCAATGCACCCTGATAAGTTAAAAAGAAACCATTTTGACCCTCAAAATTTAAAAAGAAACAGTTTTGACCCTCAATAATCAAGAAAAAAGAATCTTACCCATCAAGTGGATTTATTTTCCCGGGATAATAGTCTCCAAAAGCTAGCTTATTTATCCTGTGACTTATCTGCAAAATTTATAAGCACTTAAAAAGTAAAACCAAAAAAAAAAAAAGGAAAATGTGGAAGATCAAAAGGATTGTAGCATACATTATAACTATCGTCTTCAAAACTATGGGCATCATGGACATGGGGTAAATGCATATTTGCAAGATGAAAGCTTTTAACAAAGTGAAAATTTCCAGCTACTTTGTTGATAATTATAGATCCATACACATTGCACCCTTCACCTTGTTCAGCTTTAATCCTTTGAACAAAACCTTCTCTTTTGCACTAAAATGTCAAGAATGTTAAACTTTTCAACATTTTTATTCAAGATTTGGATATTAAACATTAATCTTGAATCAAACCACTAACCTGATCAATCAAATCAGGATTCATTAATCCCCATCCTCTTCTTCTATATGCTTCACGAACCTCATCACATGTATTACAACATTCACTTTCTGACTGAAATGTTAAACAGTAACAAGATTACAAGAATCAATTATTTGATGCATGATTTTTCTGAGTTTATATAATTATATAATATATATATATATATATATATATATATATATATATATATATATCAAAGGCATATATATACCTGTTCTGCACCAAAACATGAACCACAGTATGTTTCATTATCTTGAACATCTCCACCATGTTTCTGCTTTAGCTTCCCAATATTAGGTTTACCAATCTTGTCAAATTTCACTTGGATTATATGCCCATCAGAATCGATTCTGTTCTTCATTACAGAATGTTTCTGCAAAGGATAGATTGTAGTCAAATGCCATGAAAACAATAGATATGGGAATATGTAAAGATGACATACAATATCAAGATGTTGCTCCCCACTGATATCAATGGCATCAAGACTGAGTAGTGTGCATGAAACTGCAGGGAATGTGATATCAAACTGCATTTACAGATGTGAATCGTGAGTTATGAGTTCATGTTTTGATATAAATCTTGGAAATTATTGACAATGTATACATTAATTTTGAGGTGTTCCCCTCTTGAAGTATCAACTACGAGCTTTGTATCAGTAACTGTTTGAAGATATAGTCCTGAAATAGAGAAGACACCAACAACAACATTTAGCTGTTGAATTCAACATCATTTTGTAGAAATATGAAAAGGAATATACTATAGATAGCAAGGAAGATCGATTTTGGTCAAAATGTGAGTACAATTCATAGCACTTTTTTTACAGTTGTTTGTTCTTTCAGATTATAGTGTTCTTTAATCTTTATGTTTGAAAAATTGGCGGATTGTTCACTATGAGTAACAAAATATAATGGTTAAAGAGGAGCCAAATAACTTTTACTTTACTGTATAGCAAATGCTATAAACGCATGATGAATTAATTGATGTTGATGAGAACCAATGGGAAATGCGTGCTGATTTTATCCCGAACAAAATAGGAACCCCAATCAAAGATCAAAACACGGACATTAAATCACTAAGAGCTACTTATATGAGAATTATCAGATCACACATGGAATTATAGGGAAAATCAATTCCTTATTTATCCTACAAACAAACAGCAAATCATACGCTATAACACAAAGGAATTTTACCGAACTCCGAGAAAATCAGGAAGAACATCGCAAAGGAGGAAGCGAGGGTAATAACACCACCAGAAAGCGTACGGCTGTAGAAATCCTCATTGACTTTAGGGTACGCATCCAGATTCCGAACCTTGCTGAAAACTCTGTTCATAATGCCCACAGAAGGCATATCATCCAGATAACCTAAAACTCCAAACTGACAACAATTTTCTCTTGAAATTCAGATTATTTTGTATCAAATTCGAAACTCACGCCCTCGATTTTCACTCCTCCATCTACATGCGTTCCAAATGGTGGAGGTGAAGGAGAACGGCCGGCGCCGGAAAATGTTAGAGATCAAATTTGTACGTGATTCGGCGTTATTTTCCGTTGGCTTTGAATTCGCTGGACGAAACTCCGCCATTTTTAGTTTTCTTTGGTTATAATTGATGCCAACTCCTAATCTACGGGCATGCGATTTTCAATAACGTCGAATGAATTTTAATATTTCAAAAACAACGCTCAGATTTTTTTAAACTGCAGAAAACACCTTTTAGTTTGTACATTCACGTATTACTTTCCCTTGGTCATAGAATATCATAATAAGTTTAGTATTTTTTAAGATTTGAATTATCTTACAAACTTGAAAGGGTGATATTTTTCTTAATGTGTTATATATACTTATCGGTCATAACCACATAAGTAAAATCATTAAATACTAAGACCGGACGGAATGACGAGCGGGGAAAACCGCGAGAAACGATCATGCACACCGCACCGGGGGTGCGGGAAAGGAAACGCGGGAAAAAGGTGGGGGGGGAATGAATCTCGCTCTTGCTCTCTCTCTCTTCACATGATTGGCTTGTTTATTTATTTTTCTTTTTCTGATTCCAAACGGTTATATAGCCGTTTTATATATATATATATATATATATATATATATATATATATATATATATATATATATATATATATATATATATATATTCTTTTCCTTTTCTTAACCTATAAATACTACAACATTCTATCTTTTTTTTTAACCCATAACCTATATTTTTCTCCAAAAAATATTATTTAAAATGTTATCATTCGATTCGACGGATATAAAGGAGGCTAAGTTTATTGGTTCCGTCATAGCGAAAACGGTTGCATACTATCAAAACCGACTAGACGAAACATCATGTGCACGACCTAAGCTAAGAAAGTCGCCGTTGCGTAGAAATCACGAAGCCGGACACGATCGCCTTATAGAAGATTTTTTTGCAGATGACGCCATCTACGTTGTAAAGTTTTGACGTCGGTTCCGAATGAGGAAGGAACTATTCTTACGTATTGTTGGCGACTTGGAACGCCGTTTTCCATATTTCCAATGGAAATGGATGCAAGGCGGAAAAAAGGTTTCTCTCCCATTAAAAAAATACACAGTTGCAATTCGTCAGCTAGCATACGATATAGGTGCAGATAAATGGGACAAATATTTTAGGATGTTAGAGCGTACCGTGCGGGAGTGTGTGTACAAGTTCTGCAAAGCGATCTGTTTGCTTTATGGGCAACGATATTTGCACAAACCAACTATCAACGATATCCACCAATTGTACACTGCCCATGAAGGAAAACATGGATTCCCTAGAATACTAGGTAGTATCGATTGCATGCATTGGAGTTGGTCATTATGTCGCAACGCATGGTGTGGTCGGTACATGAGAGGTGATCACAAAGAGTCGACTATCATTCTAGAGGTTATCGCATCACATGATCTTTGGATATGACATGCATTCTTTGGTCCAGCTGGTGTAAACAATGACATCAATGTGCTAGACCAGTCGTCTGTATTCAACGATATCTACATTGGAAAGTCACACGATGTACCTTTTCAAGCAAATGGGGTAGCATATAAGCGTGGATACTATTTTACTGACGGTATATAATCTCCCTTGTCTGTTTTTGTGAAATCGTTTACATGTCCTAACGACCAGAAAAGGAAAAAGTTTAAAGAGATGCAAGAGTCAGCTATGAAGGATGTGGAGCGAACATTTGGTGTACGTAAGAGACGTTGGCAAGTACTAACGGTCGGAGCAAGATCATATGCAGTGAAAAGGTTACAGCATGTAATGTATGCATGTATCATATTGCATAATATGATTCTTGAAGACGAAGGAAGAGCGATATGCCGATACAACGAAAATGAAGTTTTGCCAAATGTCGAAGGAGTAGTCGTTGGTACACAAGAGTACAGGGTGAATAAAAGAGAAGTACACAATCGCAGCATTCATCACCCCCTTCGTGCTGATTTGGTGGAGCACATTTATAGGGCTCATATTCAACCCCGTTAGAGTTTTCTCACAATGATTTGTTTGTCGAATCAGACGAGGATTCTGATATGTTCGTCGAGAGTGAAGATTCTGACGACGAGAGTGACGCTGGGGAGAATGATGAAGACGATCAAGGCGATGATGAGGACGATGAGCGCGATGACGAACATGATAATTCCGAGTGACGTATTTTGGTTTATATAAATTTAGGATATTAATTATTTTTCTTCTTATTTAAATATTAGGTTTAATATAATTTTTATTTTAATTAAATTTGATGTTTAGTATTAATTTAAAAATTATAAATCATAAAAAATTTAATTTTATTTAATAAAAAAAAATGAGAAAACTACTTCCCCTTGAGTTTAGTTTTAAGTGAAGAAAAGAAAAACATGGGCACTTTGAAATTCCCTCTCCCACAAGCTAATAATAGCGGTCACTGTACATATATTCTTATGTATATTATATCTAATACTAAAGACTAAACTGCATAAATGGTCCCTGTGGTATGTCGAAAATTGCTACTTTGGTCCAAAAAAGTTTGGACTTGCACCAGAAGTCCAAAGTTTTCATTTTGTCGCTTGTTTGGTCCAACCTGTTCTGATTTTTTTCAAAATGACATATTTACCCCTGTTGATATAATTTCTCTTTTTTTTCTTATTTGTTTTTTCTGAATTTCAGGTTTAAAAAAACAAGAAAATAAAATTAAAAATAAATATCTCTCTCTCTCTCTCTCTCTCTCTCTCTCCCTCTCTCCTATTTATAATATTACAATAACTAAAAAAGAAAATCAACCCCACCTGCACTTCCCCTTCTCATACCTCTCTCTCCCTCCTTTCTGAACTTTCACAAAAAGAAACTAACACCGCCTCCATCACCAACTTTCAGCGATTCGAGGTTCCGACCACCACAAATTTATTTTCAGTCGGAGCAACACCACCTATCTATTTCTTTATCTCTCTCAGCAGAATCGTAACTCAATGAAGATAGTAATCCAAAGAATATATGGCGTGGCCGGAAAAAGAATGGAGATACAGAAGGAGGAGGCGATGTATTAAAGAAGACGAAGGGCGTAGAAGATGTGAAAACTTATATCAACGTCGAAGGTGGCTTCAACCTTCAGTAGGCCCGATTTGAAAACCTAGATAAATGTCATCATCTTCACACCTCGACGAAGGCTTTGTCTGGAAACTCGAGCCACAAGCGTCGCCTCCGTTTCTGTCTTCTTCTCCGGCGAGTATTGTCTATCTCAGATCCTTTTTCTTCGAAGAAACCCTCTGTCGCCGTCGTTCGTCTTCGCCGAAAACCCTAATCCATATGAGATAAGGTGGCGGCGCTAGGGTTTCGGAAGTTGGTGATGGTTTTTGTCGAAAATGGGGGGTAAGGAGATGGTTTTCAATGGAGAAGACGAACCATGAAAGTGAGAAGATGGTCTCCAGTTGTGGGAATCGGTTATGGTTTTTTGTAGGTAATGTTGGCTTTCAGATCTATCGAAGGTTGGTGGTGGCGGAGACGATAGGGGATGAAGGCAGCGGTGGCTAACGACGACGACGGTGGTGGAGTCGACGATCAAGGGTACTTGAAGACCACGAAGAACAAACAAAGAGGGAAGGAGAAATAATGGGGAGAGAGAGATTTATTTTTATTTTCTTGTTTTTTTAAATCTGAAATTCAAAAAAAAAAACAAATAAGAAAAAAGAGAAATCAAACTAACAGGGGTAAATATGTCATTTTGAAAAAAATTAGAATAGGTTGGACCAAACAAGCAACAAAATGAAAACTTTGGACTTATAGTGCAAGTCCAAACTTTTTTGGACCAAAGTGGCAATTTTCGACATACCACAGGGACCATTTGTGCAGTTTAGTCAATACTAAATACTAAAGTTGTGGCTTGACTTTGTTTTTCACCATTTAGTCTTTTCACTTTTTATTTTTGTCACTTTTCTCCTTTTAGTTTTTAAAATGATACTTTATACCTTCTGTTTTTCAAAATTATGCTTTTATCCCCCTCAACTTTTAAAAACTTTCTATATTGTAACTTCCACTCCTTCCATTCGTTAAACTTTCCGGTTTAACTGTAATATATATAATTTGTTTTCTTTTCTAGATGTCACCCCCAACTTTATAAAATATTATTTTCACCCCATCGGCTTTGAAAGAGTTAAACTTCTTAAATACATTATTGTCGACACAAACTTACATCCCCTTCATTTTCTAAACTTTCATGTTTATCTTCGTACTATATGTAATCTGATTTTTCTATCCACCGACTTTATCTTCGTTTCCACATAAAATTTTACGTTTTCATGCTTATTTTTTAGCATTTTTCTTGACATGGATGTGGTCCTTGACTTTTGTGTTTTGGCAACCTAAGTCCCCTTAGGTTTTTATGTATGGCTTTGGTCCCTAACTTTTTTTTTAGTTTGACAACTTAAGTCCTTCTAAACATATAGTGCTACTAAAAGAGTTCTTCTCAATGTTCTAAAAGGCGCGCCATGGCGTGAGGCGTGACTTCGTCGTTACAGAAAGCTTCATAATGTTGCTGTTAGGCGTGGCGCATGGCAAGGCGTGATATGACGCGTTATCGTGTGTTATGGCGTGTGTTTTTTTTGTTTGAAACACAGTTTTTTGCTTTTTGTTATGTCTTTTCTAATCGGAGATACAAGTATTGTGGTTTTTGTTAACTTTTTGTTATTAGTTATTGATCTAACACTTCTAAAAAGTAGTTATATTTAATATCAATTTATATTTATGTGGTAATATAATTTTTAAATTAACACAAAATCGTCGTCTTACATCACGCCATGAAAAACGCCATGGCTCGTCACGCTTCACGCCATTTAGAACCTTGGTTCTTCTACTTAAATCCATTATTGTTGCCGCAACGTGCGGTGAATAAAATCCTAGTTTATTTCAAACAGAGATGTTGCTAAAATGTTTCAATGTTAAAGAGCTTTTTATGATTTATTGGAATTTATATGCAAACATGACAAATGGTCCATGGCCATGGGTCTTGTACTTGAATATATTAGAACAAAAGATTTAACATTTCAACGTATAGCACCATGTTAAGTTGCGGAGACCCGATTCATTATTTTTTTTATAAGTGGCTTCCTATATTAGATTAGACATTAGAATGCATAATGGACCAGATTTGTCAGAAATTTCTAGGCCTGGCCTTTATAGGTAGATTTTAGGTAACGTACTAGTATGTATATCCTTTGACTTCGTGTAACCTAATTTATGTAAGTTACTGGGCAATACCAATAAAATCTCCTTTTTGTGTTCGCTCGTGGACGTACTCAATCATGTGAACAACATAAATTGATTTTCATTTTTTGTCTTTTTATTATTACTCTGTAATATCATTTATCAAGTTGCAAAAGTGTTTAACCCCTAACAAAAACCACGTATGGAAAATGATAATAGATACATGCCTTGCTTCAAGGTTTTTTATTGGTTAAATTTATATTTCTAATTGTAGAAGTGTTTAATTCCTAACACACCACTAATGGGAAAATGATAATATATACATGCCTTGCTTCAAGGTTAGTTTTTTATTGGTTAAATACCTCATATTTCTAGTTCATGACTAAAAACAATTATGTTTATTTGATTGCATTGAGGGCATTGATGGTACTTATATATATGTTTATATTTTAGTGGTCGTCCAAATGAGATATAAGGGAAAAAAGGAGTTACCTTCAATGTCATATGTGGCGTTGACATGTAGAGATGAGATTTTTAACCGAAAAACCAAACTGAATCGGAATTGAACTGAAACTAGTTAGTGGTATTTGGTCCGGTTCTCGGTTCTTAATTTACGACCCATTCGGTTTCTAATTTTCTGGTTCGGGTGTGTTTCGGTTCCAAATACTTTCTTAGATAACATATTTCTTAGCAGAACCGAACTGGTTAGTAGCATTCGATCCATTTTTTGGTTCTTAGTTTACGGTTTATTCATTTTTTATTTTTTCGGTTCCGAACAGGTTCACATGCCTATTGATGACATGTGCCTTACCTTTATATCTGGTAGGTGAGAAGGATTAGCAAATGAGTCTTGGGTGTTCCTTCATGCCATCGAAACACCTTCTATAAACTTTCCTAAGCCATACAACTAATTTGATATTCCTTAATAATTTGTGTGTTAACCGTTATTTGTGAATTTATTTTGTTTATTTTTACAGGGAAATATTATATTGTAGACAAAGGCTATCCAGACCGAAAAAGATATTTGGCACCATGCATTACATATCATGAATCACAATTTGAGCATGTTCTTCCAACTAATGCTCAAGAGATTTTCACTTGGGTTTGAGATACATTCATATCTTTAAAGTTGTATTGAGCATTTATATGGAGTATTAAAAAAGATGTGGAAATTTCGGACAGAATGTTAAGCTACGGAGAGAATATGCAAACATGTGTAATAATGATGGCATTACTCTTCATAACTATATTCAAAGGAAAGACTCAACAAATATAATTTTCAATATTGTTAATCAAAATTATCAATATATGCCTTCCGAATAACTAGGAGATTCAAGATTTACTTATGTTAACACTCAAAGAGTCGAACCATGATATTCAAAAATTTGTAATAATAATGCAAATATTATTGGAATGTAAAGAATGTGTTTTAAACAAAAAATGATTGGAGAACTCTTTGTTATTAAAGTAGCTTAAAGTGAAAAAAATACAATGTAAATTATATAGCCAAATGTTTTTTTTTTTTTTTTTAATATCATTTTACATATATCATCGAACTTATCAACTAACAAAAGCTAGTTTTTCGCAGCAAACTTTGAAAGATATGAACACGGATTTAAATACAATGGAAATACAATGATCCACTCAACTCAATGATCCACACCCCCTAAGAGCTCATCTATTGATAAAATTTGGGACGCATATAGATTTAGATTTCAATCACCAAATTTGTCTTATGACATTAAAACAAAAAACAAAAATACATGCATCCAAAACAACAATATATATCAACGAAACGAACATATACAGGTGAATTCTAGGTCAAAATTGGGCCACCATGATGAGAATCAATGGTCAAACGAACAAGATGATACAAAAGATGGACACCAATTGAACAGGTGTATGAGTCCATATCCGACTCTATTGGACGATTTTATATAACATATTATATATTATATATTATATTTGCACATCATTAAAACTTGCTTTCAAATCTACCATGCCTACCTAACAACATGTTAGTTTTTTCGACTGCTTGAAACCTTGTCATCTGATTCATTTCTCCTTTCCTGACCAAAAAAATCTAATTTTAATATCTTAATACTGCGAATAAAAAATAGTTTAGTAATAGAATTATGAGTATAGATTACATATTTAGTCCAAGGGTTAAAAACGGTCATTTTAAATATATATATATATATATATATATATATATATATATATATATATATATATATATATTAACTGTTGGGTTAGTAGTTAAGATTTCACTGTTTGTAGACCAGATCCACATCAAAATGAAACCAGAGGACGTTTTTGGGACAAAATTGAAAACTTGGGACTAAAGGTGTAATTTATCTAGTTTCAAAGATATTTAATTTAGTTAGCTCTGATTATTTAATTTTGTTACATTTTTACCTTCGCATTTGGTTTGAGAGGTGAAGTTGTAGGCATGTTGAATGACTCTGAAGGCCTATGAAACAACAAATGCGCTATTGTCCGATCAATAGGATTTGTGTCTGTTTCCATGTCCATAAAGCCACTGTACATGAAAAAAAAAAAAAAAAACCCTAACATTAACTATTTTCAAATAGAAGGGGCATTCTCGTCTTTTCACAGAACCTGAGTCACATACACAGTACACAGTACATAGTATTGAAAATAGAGAAAGAAAAACATACTTGTTAGTTCCATCGGTCAATAGGGGCCCACTTATGCCTGCATGGTTATTATGTCTTTGTTCTGCACTTCTAGCTAATCGGTACAGACTATCCCTTATGCATAATTTAGTCCTCAAATCCAACTGAAAGCCACACAAAAAAGGGATTTCATTCTTTTGCTTTTTATTAAAAGACCAAAATACCCTCATTGTAGAGTATTAAAAAAGACAAAGTTATCCCACCTGTTCCATAACTTGTTGGAGCTGTCTGAAACTTGTTGCTTCTAGTGAGATTTCATCCAATTCAGTACTAATTGAAGAACCTTCTGGAACATCTAATGAACCTAATCCCACTGAAGATCCTTTCTTGATTCCCCGAATATCATTTTGGCTTTCAATCTTCTTTTGGGATGGAATTGGGTCACTTCCTGAAGCCTGAATCATCATCATGTCCATTTGTTTTCCATTTCCACCAAATGAAGGCTCAAATCCCCCATAATTTTCAGAACCGGTCCCTTGAAATAAAGGGTCGCCATAACTTACCATTGATTCATTGGAAGTTTCCTTTTGGGAAGAACACGTGGGGCCCTTATTTTCAAATTTGGTACAGCTCATCATTGGGCCAGATGGATGCAGATAAGTGGTGTTCTGCATGTACCCTTTATTATCTTTTGGTTTAAACTCATCTTTGCTTTCAGACACAATTCTTGATCTTTTATTATCTGATTCTTGAGATCCGTTATTCTGTGGTGGTGTATTTGTTTCTGTACATGGAAACTTAAGCTCCATTTTCATTGGTTCTTCATATCCTCCAGCTGGATCTTCAGATGTAAACCACACCAATTCATCGTCATTCCCCGTGACACCAAGTCCAAATGACGAATCACAATTGCTGAAAATATAAAATTTTATTCTTAAATCTATATTTTGTTATAACAATGGATTAAAAAAAAGAACTTAATCGTTTATGGTTTGGGATTTAGGGTTTACCTTAACATCCTGTCCATGTCATCAAAGTTTCCGATATCAGGCCAACCATAATATAAAAGATCACTAGATTCTTTATCATCACCATCATTTGAGAATAAGTTAAGATCTGGTTGTAATGTTAACTTATTATGACTTGGAGGGTGGTTGTAGGAGTTATTATCACCAACAGCAGAGTTATCTTTAAGGATTCCATCATCTGTACATAACTCACTGCCAGATGTAATGTTGCTACTTATTTTAGCATCACCAGATTGTATGGTAGACATGTCTTTTGCTGAGTCAGCATCACCAGAAGCAACAAAAACACCCCATGAATCTTTTTCCATCATTTGTGTTTCTTTATTTAATGTTTCGGGGTTGCTTTCTTCTTTTATTTGAAGAGGTGTTGTTACATCACGCCTAGGCTTCTTACAGATGGCACCCTCACTTTTATCTTCACAACCATCATCTTTGTTAGGGTGGGGTACTATATGATCACCACTTCGGTCAAAATCGTCCCAGATAATATCTTCAAGCTGTTACACAAGTTAAAGATTTTAGCTAATCATAGTCATATGTCTTAGCACTAATTAGAACTTCAATTGCTTGATCATTTCAAGTAAGAAATCACAAAAACATGTTATAGTTTGCATTGGAAATAACCTATAGTACTAATCATCAGACAAATTACACAATGGAACCCTAACAAGTACACTATCAGCTATAATACCTCATAAATAGACAAGTCTGACATTCCTTCAACCTCTATCCAGTACTGATGATGCACCCCAAGTTCTGATCCGCCTTCATACTTAACCAAAGTAACAGTAATTATAAGAGAGACAGAACGCCCTGTACCTCTGTTCAACAAATCAACAATCACAACCTGAAAAGAGTATTACACCTGAGAATCAGAATATTCAATTAGATAAAGTAGAACTAAAATCTGCTCAATTAGAAGAACAAATCGATTCCATAACACTTCTATTACAAACATTCTAGGTCACACAAAACATGCATCAGTTAGAAGAATATAGGCATAACGATGTGCTGGTGCAAACTGTTGAAAGTTGAAGACTAGAAATTGTTTACGTCTCACAGTATTATTATCCAATCGAGTGAAATCAAACAAAGGTTACTGAACAAATTAGCAATTATCAAGTCAAACGATGAAAACCCCCAACGAAAAACTACTTATTCTTTCGATTCCATCTCTTCATCATGTATACAGCACAAACTGTATCGAAACGACATCAAATCGTAGCTCATAAACATATTTCAAACAATAAGATATAAACAAAGCAAAAAAGCACCACTTCTGGTAAGATCTACCGGAAAAATTCACCGGAAAAGTCGAAGTTAATACACCAGCTAAATTCGGCCGCGAAATTCAACACTTGATATCAACAAACCCTAGTTCGTGGATCTACAGAGACAAATCTCGTAGGTTCGATGGAGAGAGAAAGAGAGGGCTTTGAGAAAGAAAATAAAAAATAAATAAAATTTGGTGTGGGGGAAATAAGGGGGTAGCGATGGGGTGACACGTGGCAGGAAGATCAAAAGAAAGACGGGGGGATGAGAGAGAGCGTATCTAGGAATTGGTGGACGAGAGAGGCGGACGATATACGATCTGTTTCCATCGTATGATTGTGCCACGTATTACATGTGCCACGTGGATATGCTGGACCCACGGATGCTCGCAAGTGGTGGCTGTGGTGGACTTCGGCTGTCTACCTGCCTGGGTCCATCAACTTTGCTATTTCCAGTTTTAGTTTTTAATTAATTATTTTTATTTTGGAATATCTAGCTTTCAAAAACATTTTGTATTATCACGCAGATATTAGAAAAAATAATCTATAAACATTTTGTTCTTGTTAACACTCTCATAATTTTCAGCGCTCCATTTTAATACTGTTTTAGGTTAATTAATTTAAATAGAAATGTGTTAGGAATTTAGGTCCCGTTTGATAGTTGTTGTCTGGAAAAATATTATTTGGAAAAATATTGTATTAAAAAGTTTTCTGACTGAGAAAGAAATTATATTGTGTGATTGTACTGATCGATTTTGGTGAATGACGAAAAATGATTATATTATCATGTTGTTCTATATCGTAATAAATAAAGTTGCTGAATAATTATAAAAACATATAAATTATCATACAAAATCAAAATTACACGATAATCATTTAAAAATCCAAATACAAATTGTCATACTAAGTAATTAAACGTAAATCAATTAAAATCCAAATATAATATCGATTAGGCTCTCTTTAGTTTGTTATTTTTCAAGTTGATGTTATGTTGTTATTCTTTCTATCTATTTTAATTTTTTTATAACTCACTATGTGATTTTTTATTCAGTTTATGTCTGATAATCGTGGGATGGATGAGATTTTTTTTACAATAAAGTAGGATGATGGTAGTGTTGTCACAAAAAAATGAATTAATCCAATAAAAATGAATTAAAAATTAACTAAAACAAATTAATAATCCAATAAAGTTATATTTATTAATATATAAATATTATATATTATAAATAATATTTATTAAAATATAATAATATAATAAAAGAGAATTAATCCATATAAAGGAAATTAAAAAATATATATATTTAAAAGAAAGTAATAATCCAATAAAATAATATTTATTAATACATAAATATTATAATATTAAAAATAATATTTATTAATATATAATAATTCATTAAAAATAATAATCCAATAAAATAGAAATTAAAAAATTATTTTAAATAAATTAATAATCTAAGAAAAAATAGGTGAGGTTTGGGGCACAATTATCCTTCCAACCCATTCAGCCAGAAATATATAATTTTGGAGCTTTCTGGGGAAAACATATCTTATCAGGAAATATCAATTTTTTGTGCAAATCAAACAGTCTTTTCGGTCCATTAAGCCATAAAGATTTGTTTAGACTTTGAAATATGTCTATCAAACGAGGCCTTAGTTTCGAAATCGATTACAAATTAACCATAGGCGAGTACACGAACATTTGAGAGAAATAAGGACCTTTTTACGAACGTATTCATCAAATTTGTTCACTTAAGTGTAAATCAACTTAGATCGAAGATCCACCAATAAAATGTTGGTTTATCTTGTTCTCTACTTGACTTTGGTACTGATTAAGTGAAAGAACTATTAAACCTATTTTTATTGTGAAATTGATGAACAAGTGTTACCATCATATGATGAAGTTGATGTTGATGTTAATCAATGTTGTGATAGTAAGGGCGGGTCGTACCAACCTTCTTTCGATGATTTTGAGGATGAAGTTTTGGGATTTTTTAGACGAAAACGATGAGGAATAGTAATGAAACATACTTGCTTCATTTTATAAATTACCACAAAGGTCATCTAACTATCATATGATGTATATAATGAATGAACCCTTTGGTGACGATTTTAAGATCAAGAGAAACAACGTGTAACATCCCAAAAATTTCAACAAATTTAAACTTTTCAAAACAACTCATGTACTAATAAAAGTGTTTACAAAACTATTGTTTCCAAAACATTATTTAAAGTCAGAGTCTCCCAAGATTCAGTTAGTCGTAAAACCCATGATGTGTAAAGTCATGCATTCGCCTTGCCACATTCTTGTGAAGTACCTGAAACCATAAACTAAATACTATAAGCACGAAGATTAGTGAGTTCCCCCAAAGTACCACCACACAAACAAATCACATACACAGACACTCATGCCTGGCCCAAAATGGTTCGGGTTGGAATACGAGGCATGTCTACAATGGGCCCAATCATCCTCGGGATGGAATACCCTTGTATCATAAGCATGTTTGGTCCAATCAGCCTCGGGCTGGAATACCAAAACATGTCGGGTCCAATCAACCATCGGGTTGGAATACCCCAAGCCTAGTCAATCATCGGGTTGGAATGCCAATATACAATGGGTCCAATCAACCATCGGGTTGGAATACCCCAAACCCAATCAACCTTCGGGTCCAATCATTCTCGGGATGGAATACTGTTGGTAATTTAATATCATCAATATTATTTAAGTGTAATAGGATTAAATTTGTTGACCAAAAGTGATCTTGTTGAATATTGAACAAGTTAGGATGGTGTAGGAGTACACACTTGTTCAAGTTTTTCACGATTCAAAGTGCATTGTTATTTAGGGGTGAAGCTCCTAAACGAACAGGGGTACAGGTGCGCGGCTCCTAGAAGCGGGTTCCAAGAGGCAGATCCCCTGGCTTTTATTTGGGTTATGTTGCTATATTAAAAAATGCATCAAAAATCCAATTTTAGAAAGTTGACCCTTTTTTCCCTGAGATCCGGTTTATGACAGGTATAGGTAGTTTTGATGGCAGTTTGTAACTGTATTGTGACAGATTTCATACAGGAATCATATAGTTGTTTTTGCTCATTTTCTGGTACATCTTCTTGAAGAACATTTTTTCACATACATTATCTGATTTCGTTCTCTAAATTTCATCCAGCTGAGTGCTTGATTAGTACCATCGAAATACTTCAATTTGATAGTGAATCACGAATTTTAAAGAATCCAAGCAATCTGTTCATCCCTTATTTCTAACAAATACCCCATGTTATGTCAATAGACGACGGATCCAGTCAACCATCGGGTTGGAATACCCTCGGGCCCAATCAACCATCGAGTTGGAATGCCCATGTCTGTTAGCCCACACACATAGCAGTAACGCCTCAACCATCAACCAAAATATGTGCACATATAACAGATAAACATATAACCAGTCAATAGACAATCAGACAAGTCTATAGATCGCTAAGAATAGCATCATCTTATATACCAGGATACCGATCTAACAGATCACTACGACATGATAACTACTATCACGTAACATGATATATAATCCAATGGGCTGGCCTTGGTGCCTTCGACCCGTAAGTACATCGAGGAAAACTCACATCTCGATTTGATCAATAGCTGATGAGGTCCCGACTTCGAATCTCAGCTCTAACCAACACCTATTCATCCAAAAGACTAATTCTCAAACACCATCCAAAATACCCCTAATGGCCCAATGCCCAAAATCGATCCATTGGGGTTCTGAGAGAATGCGTGGTGTTCTGCCTATAACGCCTGGTGTTTAAACACCCAACATTCCCATGAAAATGCCTGGCGTTTTCTCATTGTCTACCAATTTATTAGTTAATGTCTTAATGGCTTAAGATCTTATATCCAAACTTCAGATCCAATCATAATGGAATGTCTAAAGCCATAAAGTTGCAAACTTTATTGCCATGTATGGTCACAGTGAGTCCAAAAGCTAAAACTCCAACTCCTTAAACCATTAAGGCACCTCAAAACTTGCATGAAGGATTATAAAGACCCAAGATTGCATTTTTATGATTCTAGACTCACTATTATGCTTGAAAGGAAAGTCAAAACCTCTAGAGCATTCCAAACTCACAAATGTCTAGTTTTTGGGATCAAAAAGAACATAAACTAGACTTAAATCAAGATTTAACAAATGAAACATCAAGATCTAAACTTTATACCTCAAAATGATGCTCAAAGATGTCAAGAGTTCAGATCCACAAGCTAGAGAGCAACCACAATACTCCAAAGATCTTCCTTCTCTTATCAAGAACACTAAATGATACCAAAAAGATGAACTAATGCTTCAAACTCTCATACACACTTAGGGTTTTCAAAATGAGGATGGAGGTTGGAGTGGTGAAGGGTTTTGAGGCCATAATGTTCTTTAAATAGGGTGCAAAATCTAAAATTTAGGGTTTGGTCTCTACGTGCAAATGCCTAGCGTACATCATAGAACTCTTGGCGTTTGAACACCAAGCGTTCTATGCCAAACACCTGGTGTTTAGACCAAAGACCAAACTTTACCAAAATGCCACAATGGCCCTTGAACTTTTCATTTGCTTAGGGACCAATATGCAATAAATATTAATACAAGGGTCAACAATGAAAGTGCCTCAAAACCGGATGTTACATTTCTCCCCCCACTTGACATAGACTTCATCCTCGAAGTCTGTTGTAGTAACTAATCCAGGGTAGTGTTTCCATATCTCCACCTCGGGTCACTTAGACGGTCTTCCCCAGATACTGTTTCGAACTAAAAGTCGACTCATTCAAGCGGCTGACCACCCATACCATCCTTGACTTGCTAACTTTCATCACTGGAGAAACCATCACAACCCTCCTAAAATTCGAAAATGCAATACCTCAACTGACTCTTAAGTAAACAAAACTATCTCAGGATGCAGTTATTACGATGTCTCTTTGCAATTCGAATCATACGGAACCCTTCCGACTCTGACTTACCTTGATGATTCCATTGGGGAATCATGACTCCTGACCATTCTTTGTTGTTGAACCCCTTATCCGGAAACAAGTCATCTCCAAACACGAGCCTCAGCTAGATAACTACTGCAGAGAGGCACAAACAATGCTAGCATATTCCACAACTTTCTAGCTAAGAGCGAATGTCTAGAGATATCCACAAATTTGAGGACTCTTAAGGCTACAAACACCAAATCAAGTCTATCAATATGCTTCCCGAGATCGAAAACTCATCATATCTAAATTTCAGAACCTATATTCCTGAACTGATATTTATCCAATCATTGAATCCACCCTTGCCCTTGAGTATGACCACTACCAAACGCGCATAATAGAACCCAAACACACCAATCGTGAATTTCCACCAATTCGAAATCCATAATATGAAACAAAAGCCTTTAGTAAACCCTTCACTCCCTGCCACACAATT